GAAATACAGTCTGGGCTATTTTTAAAAGTTAGGTCCTTTCCCTTCGCCTTCTTTTTTCTTTTGTCTTTCTGTACAGTGTGCTTGTTTATTCATGGATGTGTGAGAGTTAAGCGAGAACCACTGATGTATTTCTGATGATTATGATGCTTATGATAGTGCTTTATAAACTAGGAATCTCAGGTTGTGGTGGTGTTCCAGTTTTGGATTTTTGCGGCTCATAAGGTTTCGCTCTGGAAACTCTAAGAGACGTGACTGCCAGTCGGATGTAGGGTAGCAACTGTTACCATTGTACGGCCGATTGTTCTGTGAATTGAAGACAGTGATTTGAGACAGTAGACACAAACAGGAAAGTACACTGTTGATACTTTAGTACATACGTGCACTGAATTGACGCTTTCCTAGGTATACACAATAATACCAGACCCGAAATAAAAATACCGATAATTGCAGGAGATCGATAATTACAATTGGTCTCGATCAGTTCTAAACAACACTGACGAGCGGAAGTAGCTAGGGGGGTCGAGGATCCGACCGTCGAACGCGCGAGCAAGCCGGAAGAGTATGTATGGCGTGATTGGCGCGCATAGGTTAACAAACATGCAAACAAACAAACGCGATCGCATGCACCAAGCAGACGGCAGGTCAAGATCCTTAAGATCCAATGTACAACGTGAGCTAAGATTTTGGGAAGGATTTTACACATCGTACAGAAACAGACCGGGGTTATTTCCAGGTCACTACAATATCATCTTGTTCTCTTGTGCAAGTTTGGGAAGATAGTTGAACCTAGATACTCACTGATTCCAATTAAACATGATCTTTTTCATTGCTTCTCATTCATATGTTTTCTTTATTTTTGAAATAAATCTGTTTCTATTTATATTGCTATATCGATCATCACAAATCAATCATTTAATGCATTAGCCATCATATGTATCACTGATGACGTTATGTAAACGAAGTAGGTTCAGAAGGGGTTATTCATGCGTTAATGTCCGACATACATGAGGAAGATAGGTCGAAGTGTTGACTTTGGGCCAGTTCACGGATGCCCCCTTGTCAACTTCAAACACTCAGTTCGCTTTGGAATTCACCAATGTCACTGATGACTACTGAAACTGTATTACTGATAGGTAGTTGGCAGATCTGATAATTTAGACAAGACTTAATTCTGAAAAATCTAATTTTCAGCTGACCGAAGAATCCTGCTTAGGCAGCTTATTTGCTGGATAAATTAATGAATTCCATAAGGGACAGTAGACAGAGTGGCTAACCGAGTCCAAATATGAACTTTCTGATCATTCAACATGGCTTCGAAGCTCAGCAGGTAGAACGCTTGCCGCATATGGGCCTACCGTTTCCGTCCCTCGTTTGAATCCGGCACAAGTTGGGATTATTATCAATTAAGTCTGTTTTAATTTATCATATCTGCCGAACCACTCACCAATAATGCACTTTCGATGCTCATAAATGGTGGTGGTAGACTCCAGCGTGGACTGGTTGAGAAATTCTGCTTGGGTTGTCAACTTGCTGAACCATTTGGTGGATTTCATACGAGACAATGGATTGGGTAGGTAACTGGGCCTAAATGCAAGATTTCTGGTTGATCCATGTGCGTTGCGACAAATTGGTCTGGTTTGATAGTCCACGGTATTTTATTTTGTAAATTTCCCCATATTTTGGTGGATTATCAAACAGAAGGTGCGAGTATTCCAGCACTCGGCGGAATACCTCAACGAGGATGGGAGTTACGTCCAACAGCCCTCAGCGAACGGATCTGGGACAGCATAGGACACTGGATGAGTCATGGCTCGAATAGATCGGCCCAACGGGCGAGACATGGCAGGCAAAGCAGGATGAACGACCACATCGGAAGCGCGATTATTCCAACGCTCAGAGGAATATCTCAACACGGTTGTAGAATACGGTTAAAACCCACAGTGGATAGATTGCGGACAACACGAGCGACCGAACGAGCCACCGCTCGAAGAGATCCGACCAACGGACTAAGAATGGCAGGCACAAACCCCCTCGATAGTAGGCGTTGGTCCTACACATAAACCCGGCAAAAGTGCACACGACGTGTGAGTGAAAACCGGGGGGTGCTGTGGACCGGAATTCTAGTTCATAAATGAGAGTGCGAACGTAGCAAGGTAACCAGCAAGCTGGACAGTAAAGATTGTGTTACTGATAAGTAGTTTGGCAAACTCAATAATTTAGAAGTGATCCAACTGCAAAATATCTGGACGTTGACTGGGTTCGAACCAGCAGAGCCCTTGCCGCGTTTGGGCATGTTGTTTCTGTCGCTGGTTCGAGTCCGGCCGAAGTCCAGACTTTTCGCAATGGAGTCTCTTCTAAAGAAAAAGTGTGCTTTATCGGACGCCTCTTCGCTACATTATCCCCTTGGTACCAGGTTAACTAACATGACGATTAGATTAGGCAAAATAGTTCGAGTGGAGTTCATCATTTCTCTATTCTTGATGTTAACAGTGGGTGTGCTAGGTAGTATTGTTTGTGCTCCCCTAATGCAATACCAAATTACAAGGACACTACTCTAATGAAGCCATTTTTATAAAACCGGCGAGCATTATCTGAAGAGAATATGTTATTAATAGGTCACAGCCAACTTTGTGAGCAAACTGTATGCAACGGTCACTGCTATGCGTTTTGCCATATTTTCTATTGCCTTCCAAGTATGTTCGCGCTGCCATCACCTTTGGGAACCTTTCGGTACACGGTTCATAGCTGGATCAGCCTGAACCGTGTGTGAACAAAAGGACTGACAATTATCTTAAGTGAATTATATATTGATATATATATATATATATATTATTGAACTCATTCTTCAATTGTGCTCAGTCACGACCAAGCCTTAGCTTAACTCTTGTCACGTCCTATAGCATTAAGCTCTGAATAAGCTCATATATACCATCCAGCGCTGTCTTTAGTCCTCACTTCAGCTGGGTGTAGCCAAACGTACATGTGCCTTAAGGTGGTTGGTCGGGTATCCGAAATTGTAGTCGAACCACTACTACTGTTATTTCAGATAGCGATTCTCACAGTCGATGACTGGAGACATTAGATGAGAGTGTGGCTAATTGGGCTTAGTGTCGTGAATGTTGTAGTTGTTTACCCTTCGGGTTTACACTGGATACGTGGTGTGTGAGTGGAACCGCAAGTGGTTCAGCGCAAACCATTTGGGGTGATAGTTCAAAACGCAGGCCTCCGTTGGCTTCGGTCACTGTGACAGGCTAATCCGTTTCGGATGCCGCCAACCAGTGTTTAGCCGAGCTGTATGTGAAGTAATTGCGCTTACTGGCCAGGGGCAGTGAAAGCCGAAAGGAAGCTGTCTTGTTTATACCGCCTTATTTTCACCTGTAGCTCAGTTGTTTGTTTGTAATTTGTAGGCACCTTGATGCTGAATGTCTGAGTACAGACGTAGTTCCTTTTAGTAATTAGGTTTTTTCCCGTCTCCTTCTTTTTTCTTCTGTCTTCTTGGGCGGGATCTGCTTTATCGTTTCATGGATGTGTGGTAGTTAAGCGTCAGCGTGAATTACTGACGTATTGCTGTCTATGGTGATGATGATGACGCACCACAGTGCTCATGGTTGATGTCGTGGTTGATACTAATTGAAACAGAGCGCTCAAAATTAACGTTCAATGAAATGATGTCTGGCTAAACTAGCTGAACGCACTTGATCTCGCTTGAACTGGAACGTCAGGAGTGCATATTGCTGAATGCCTCATGACCCGTATGGAACAGGCAGTGAGTGCTTAGATAGTCATTCAGAGCAAGATGATGTTTATCTATCCAATGTAATGTGTTTATGGCGACTTGAGCGATCAGACATACTAATGGTTTGATGGATTTGCTCAATTAGACGTTGATGTCCCTTGGATTGAAAACGGTGAAGATAACCAAAGAAGGAGGTACAACAAAGAATAAGGGACTTTGGCAACGACGGACCATTTAGTCACAGAGGCAATCCAGTTGGTGAACTAGGTAAGACTGTTTGTACTGAACAGAAATATCGACTGGTCGTCAAAGGTGACCAATATCAGTTGTGGTTTGTTCGCTCACTAAGCTAGAATGAAGTTAAGCGATAAACGTCTTATGAGTAAAGGATAAAAAAAATAAAGCAGGACTATACTACAACTTTACGTCAAATAGATGGTTAGTAGACAGTAGGGTTTCGCTAATGGCGAATGTGTATCGATCGATTTTTTACTGCTCATCAAGTTTTGTTGCAACGTCACACACCAGTGATAGCAACAGCTGTTTCTGGCGTCTATCCTGGTACGTTCGACTTAGTAGAGCAGTCTACATTCTTCGAGTAACTTAAATGCTGGAATATGTCCAACAAGTATGTGAACATACTTTGGGTCACAATGAGTTCTACCCTGGACTGTTTGATGGATTCTGAACTAGAAATGACTTGTACCTAGGCCATTCGCCTCCACCATTTCCGTTTAATTTTTGTTTAGACACTCACAAGAGCTTCGATTTTTTAGCTGAGGAAAGACCAATTTAACCTGAGTATGCCGACGGTAAGATTTTGACGTGTAACACGTCTGAAGTAGTGCAGACAATGCCGGATACTATATCGCGCTCTATCAGATGTTTCGGAATACGCTTCGCAACCACAAATTACAAAGCGCTCCTACGTACCTTTCTGTTCGTGCAGAAATAAGGTTGGATAATTAACTTATAGAGGTCATCAATCGGCTTGAGTACTTCGGAGGTTGCACCAACAAAGATGGAAGTATTTGAACTGCAATAGAAGCTCGTATCTTCGAGGTTAAGGCAGTGTCTGCTAATCCAGAACATCTCTAGTGATAAAGTGATAACATCGTGAATACTGAGCTTTGCGTGTATCATCAACGGATAGATAACAGCGAGGTTACAAACAGATATTTGAGAATAAGTATCAAGTCAGTCCATTTGTTCGGCCACTAAATGTGCGCAAACTTAAATGATTAGTCCTATACCAAGGAAATCAGGGCTTCAGCTGCATTCAAACCAGCGACAAAAACAACACGCCTAAACATGGCAAGCGCTCTACCAGGTGAGCCACGAAGCCACGGTGGGATCTCGGAAATTTCATATTTGGACTCTGTTACTCACCCTTCCCACTGTCTCATATGGAATGCACCAAATGATCGAAGGCATTGACTGCCCTGGCAGCATTTCTCGTAAAAAAACAGCTTACTAATTTTTAAATAAGTAGCACGAGTTTACCTACCGGTGTGCATCCTCACAGACCAAGTGCGCTATACGTCAGTACGTTTTGTCGAATGGTGTTTCGGTCACCTATTATCGCAGTCACTCTGAATCACAATCACTGGAAGTCTCTTCCATATGACTAGTGTAGATAGAGCATTGCGTACGGACAGCCACTCTGACAGTCTCATCTGAACAGGAGCGCACTCCTGTAATCTATGGTAAGGACCGTTCTCGTTGTAAGCTTCTGCTTCTTGTCAAACACCTTGGAAAACATGCAATATTTTATCTCTGTAACATATGCTGCTCGAACAATATTTAAATATTCACTGCCCTTCTTGGTGTCGGGGGTAACAGTGGCGACATTTTTAAAAGTCTTTGTTTCCACAAACCTGATCTTAACGAACGGATGCTGATGGTTTTTGTTGTAAATACGATTGTTTTTCTAAGGTTTTGCTGAGCATCCATGATATTCTGAAGATAACTGAAAACGCTTCATTACAGCGGACCATGTGGTCACACTCTGTGTTAGGTGTTACAAAATCGCACTATTGACGGATGTGACAGTACCATTACTGGGGGCTTTTGTCTGCAAGAGCAGAACCAAATGGTAATCCCATCGCTATATCGTGTCTTTTCCTGAAGTAGCATCCATTAAAAGAGAGCCGCATATCAACGATACAACGGTAAACGAGTTCTCTAAGTTGGATCAAGGAAATGCTGATGTCTCTTTCATGAGAATGGATCTAGTCTTAAATGTAGTAAACGGTTTCGTAAAGTGGGACGTTTGTGAAAAGTGACTCGATATTTTTTACTTTGCTAGTCTCTTTTCGAATTTAAATACCAAACAACTTGTCCGCTAATTTACGTCATTATCGCTCTGTCTGTTATGCATCTGCTTGCTTGCTTGAACTTGTGACCCACATACTATGTTACCGCTGTTCAATAGTCTGTCGATTATCAATCTTGTCTCGTTCACCGACACTGAGTTTCGGTCGGCCAATTGCAATTGTATGCATCTTATCGTGTATGCAAACGCCAGGAGTGAATTAACGAAAAGAAATTTCCTCGCTATTTGTGTGTTGTTAATCGTCTCAGTTGGCATAATTTGGCATTTCATTTGAGCCAATCCTATCTCATTAATACGCACTTGTAACTCCGAGTAGCGATTTTGCTTGGGGCGTCATGGTTGTTATGGACAGCTTGATAACATCCAACCTATACATGGCGTAATGTATCACTTGGCGATAAGCGTTTACAGATGGATATGCTGTAAAAATTGATGAACGCAATCAACTGTTCTGTAAGTGATAATTGCATTGTTGATCCATAAGCGGTTTGGAGATTAGGCATGTCTGATACTATATAGTAGGAGAAAACCTTCGCTCGTCAACTTCTACTTGATGAGTCTAAACAGGAAAACCTGCTCCTGATTATCGATATTAGGAAGAGCACCAAGGTTCTTCGGACTTGTGTTTACCTCCAATGACTGGAAAGATGAATGAACCTGTGCTATGCGGAATGCAATTTGAAACAATTTGCAAGCACACATTTCACTTCGTGTTTTGCTAACTTTCGCGATGATTTCGACCATAAAGACTTAGAGTTATAACATAAATGTTTGATGACGGTGAGTGGCCTCTGCATCTTGATTATTCCCTTATGTTCACCCTTGCCACACGAAAGCTGCATCCACTTCTCCATAAGTAGTTTACGGCGAACCGCTTGCGGTCATATCCACACACTCTATCCAGGTTTTAAACGCGAATGAATAAGACCACCAGGCATAGTTCTTAACAGTCATTGTTGAGCTAGCGCTCCACAGTTGATTTCACCTTACTGCACTGTAGTGCTTTCAATTGCCTGTTGGCAAATAATGATCAGGGAACATAACATGTGACTTGAAAGTCGATGTTCCAAACCTCTTTAGAATTAATTCAGCCCGGCTAGTTTAAGCTTGAATGAACCCAGCCAAAGTGAGGTACGGAACTGCGGATGGGCACCGTGACACGTTTTAGCTTGTATATTCCATTGCGACCTTACTCTCATCGAAGTATTCGAATTGTTTTCTGGGCTGTAAAGGAACAGGAATGAATTGTCTAGAGTTTTCTTTCGCCAATAATTAATTGTTTATAACCTTCTGCTATTCTAAAGTCTTTTGAAATGTCAGCGATAGGGCTACTTGGTGGTTGTGGTTCATCTGTCGTTGTAACAGTTTTCCTTTTCCAGTGGCAATATTTCCAATAGTAAACTGTATACTCGTTTTTTTGTTATTCATGGTGTTTATGCGCACAACAGAGTTCTTCATTAATGTTTAGTCGTTCATCAAATTTTGTGCAAAATGCAGCAGCTTACAGTGCTTTCACTGGTTCTTTAGTAACATCTTTTTTGTGTACATTTTTGTTTATGTTCGTTTTGATGCCGCGTTTCTCACGTCTTTCTGTTTTTCCCAATAACTGGACATAACAGACCGGAAAACATTATCAAGCTATATCAACCGACGATCACATTTATCCTCTCTCGTCAAGATCACACATTCAGATAGACGATGATGGGCAGTCGGCACATTTGGAAGGCGGAAAACCTGAAAGACGCAGCCAGTCAGCCGAAATACTGCAACATAACATTTTCAGTCCGGATCTAAAACCCATAACTTCGCATCAGATTTGGGATTCCCCTATGTCCATTCCGTGTATGGTTGCAACCGTAGGCGGCTCACCTGTATTCGAGAACTCCGAACAAAGCACACAATCGTTTATCGAAAGTCCACAGTCTGTCCCTAGCGTCACTCTCGAATTGACTTCATTTCAAGTGACAAGTCCGATCACTCAGAAGTCTCAATCCCTTCAGTGGCTACGAACTGGGTCACCGCCGGTAGATCGTCAAGCTAAGCTTTGTTCTAACAGCGAGCATAAGCGTGCTGCTGATGAACTATTTGTTCCTATTCGAGTATCCAAACAACCGTCCAGTGCGTGTCTGTTCGCAACAGCAACCATACCCGTTGATCTAGCCGCACCCGTCTACACTATAACCGCTTCTAACTGTATGCACAATCAGTCTGGTTGCACTACTGCCGTATCAAATATGAATTTTCGAACATTACCTACCAGTTCCATCGGAGTAAGTGACTATTCGAATTCAAGCTTGTCTAGCAGTTTTTCGGAATTGTAGTTCGAAACGTGTTCAGCATAATGAGCCTGTTAAACTTCTGAGATCTCCATTGTGTTAAACATTAAGTTGCGTTGAGACGTCTGATCCTGGAATGATACTCTCAGGTTGATATGTACACTTGTCTCGCTGATAACGACGTTTTTCTACCGTTCACTCTGTCGTCCATTCAAACCTCGGTTACCGTGACTACTGTCTACGGTTTGGAAACTGGACGTTATCCAGCTCGCATGTGACCCTGTAAGTCCCGTGATACGGAACACCTTGAGAGAAGAACGTTAGGGCTGTTGTATCTGAAAGGGATCTGGCGTGCGGTCAATCAGTGCAGCATCAGTGTAATGGGCCGATCGACAAGACAGCATAATAAATGTGGTAGCAAGCACACAAATCTTTATAGTAATGTTAGATTCTACGTGACCAATGACAGAAAATCATAGACTGGCTAGTGGGCAATTGTGCGATCAGGACGAATCACATGACCGACCCCGAAGACACCATCACGGCGCACCAGTGTGCCTTGGTTGGTCAATCATTCAGCCTTGCGCAGCGCATCTGCGCATGTTTCCGGCACACAGAAGCACATATACAACAGGTAACAAGAAGAACGTTTACTTTTTTTCATCGTAACGTGACAGACATTTGATGTTGGCCTGTTTCAGAACTAACCATGTTAGCAACTGTTTAGGTTGCAGTGCTTTGTCCATAATGGTGTTTTTTGATATGCATTGTTCTTACATGAGACAAGATCCATTAAGTCAGAAAATAAGAGGATTTACCATGGTTGCAGTATGTACGTCGTTCACACGTGGTAGGAGGTTTCGCTTTCAGACTAATTTTTCTGTTGGTTCATTTCGCATAATAACTTTAGATTCTGGGTTCCCTTTGTGACTACAGTGCACTTTACTATTCAGTCTGGTGGTAAGCCTCCTGTCTCCATGACTTTGAGATGAGCGTTACTCAGCTGACCTCACGCACTTCCTGTTAGCCGTGTCCGACCTGCTGTGGAGACTACACAATGTCAGTTCAAGTGGTTCCAGTCATTGACGTTGTAATTAGGGTCGACGTTCGGGTCAAAATCTTCGGTCTCTGTCAGCCTATTTGAGCGTTCTGTTGATGATTGATTAGTAACTGTTCTATTCATTTCACTGATAGTGATCATGATAAGTACAAAATTGACGAGTGACTTTATCTTTCGACGTCTCAAATATTGTCGGCTTTTATTCATTCGGTTTGAAATGTATGCAAACGTACTGGTAATAGTTATCGAGTAATTACAGTGTAATTGAATGAAAGGTCAAATTTTTGCAAATTCATTTCGGCGGATTTTCACCCCAATAGCTATCAAGCTTTGCTGTCTTTATTATCCTAGAGTGGACACTACAATTTGATTGGTAGAATAACTTGCAATGTTTTGCGTTTAGAAGTAGCTGGTTGTCGTGTTCTTGGCAATTCGTCATACTATTCATTTGTACATTCCATAACAAATTACAACCTGATTACACGTTTCCACCGCATGAAGAGGACCACACCGTCCGTTATATTATGGGAACCTTTCATCACATCACCATAGGTGCAAATTGCTGATTTAAAGGTTTCGCTTATAGGAAGGTGGAACCGTTTACGGATGAATAAATGTGTACCTGGATACTCATGTATACGAAGCATCCATGCACATCTCGCTCATTCGCAGTG